AAATACCGTGTTGCACGAATTCACCCCCTCAAGAATCTAATTTTAAATTCTCCGTAACCCACCAATCTGACTCAGATCTTAAGGGTGACCTATAAATACTGACATGAGACCATAACAGGCCACTGGAAATGAGTTGTGGAAAACTGGTGATGTTTGTACGATCACTCTAGATTATGAATCAGGAAGGAATTAATTTTTCGGGTTTAAATGAAGATAATATGCCGATATTCCGTAGAGAATGATAGAAATATGAACTACTTATGATAACTTGTCTCTAGGTAGATGTTCGAACCCGGGTCCTCTGCTGTACGAAGTAGGATAGTTAACCAGGGTTCCCAAGAACGTATGTGTCAAAAAATGGAATTGTTTTACTTCATATGTTAGATTATTTCCAGGTTTTTGTAGAATGTTGAAGAGATACAAGAGAGAGGTAATTATTTTTGAGCCATACTGTACTGTACAGTTCCTGTAAGGATATCAATGTCTTGCGTGTCAGCCTGCACTTTACTGGTTTAATGGATCTGCATGAACTCCATTGTTTTCTTCAGCCACGAAATTACCCGCCTTTGCGTTTCTATGGCCAACCGACAAAGCGAAACTTATGAAATCTGCAACTAGAATAACAACTCATCTCTTGTGTGATATCGGGAAGTTGTTGATGTGTAATGTTATCGACGCTGCTGATTCAGAGGCAGAGACGTGCGATTGTAGGATTCTATGCTGTATTTTGTACTTTGAGTGGTAATAGAATGAAAGTCGCTGAAAAAGTTTGCCAAATTCGAGCTACGTCTCTTCACTTCGTGGCTTCCGTATTGATTCAGTTGTGATCTGTACAGGCAATGAGGTTATGGGATGTTTATAAGTTGAGATATTTAGGAAATCTGGTAAAGCGGTTGTTGTGTTAAATGCTGGGAACATTAAGAGTCCCATAGAACGAAACTTTAGAGAAAGGCAGTATTTTTATTTTTACGATATTTCGTTTGTACATTATCCGTTATCTATTATTTAAAATTACAATAATGCGAAATTAAAATATTAACAATTCAAAAATTTACAACGTTTCGGAGAATGTTTCTGTTTCCGTCTTCAGGTAAGAGGGTACCTTTTTTGTTTTAAATAAAGACAGTGGATATTAATCTAAGTAAAACATCACAACAATCATAATCCATCACTGTCAATAAACTTTATGTAGTAGTATCCACTCCTGCTATGTTTTTAAGTGATAACGTGTTTCAATCTAGGTCGGAATTTTTCCGTGTTTTTCCTGAGTCCCTCCATCTAAATGAGAACCAATATAATTAGGTATAGTGACTAGGCTACACGGTGATCGACCAGGGTTCTCTCCCCGGTAGGGATGTCTCTCTTCGCCACAACATTCAGACTGACTCTGAGGCCCTGTCAGTCAATAAAGCGAATGTCTACAGGTCGGACGGATTTAGAATGGAGTCTTACTTCCACTCCGCCATACATCTTGTTTCTGTGGTGTTTCGTTACAGGGGACAGAAAAGTGAGTCATTGTATTGGAAACGGTTAATAGGAACTGTTAATTTGAACGATGTTAAGTTTTACTGTATAAGAAAATAATCCTCAGGCAAGAACGTCAAAACATCTGTATTGAAATTACACTGTGTCTGAGAGAGGGAGTCTTCGTGTTTGGCGTACCCCTAGGGAAATATCTGAATCGTGGGATAGAGGTGTCCGACTTAACAGAACACTGTGAAGTTGGCGAGAGGGCGAGTTGACCGCGATACATGTGTTCACAAACTCACGTGCTGCATTTAACCTCTCACCAGCTTCTTTCATAAATTGCACACTTGAGAAGTAATCAAATTCATGGTATTATCAAATTTTTTAAATGTATATATTTGTTTTTCTACTGGGTTGTGACGCTCGTAGGTAGATACCAACGTTTTCTATCTTCAGGACCCAAGATGGATGCATTATGTTTCTGCGTCACAACCCGGGAGAAAAGTATTAATATTTTCATCGCATTGAGAACCTTAAATCTAAAGCTATAAGTCTAGGAACGTACTTACATAGAGGTTACATAAAGTTTAATGACGTGATGAAATGGGAAAGTGGCCCTTTCTAATATAAGCACCTAAAATTTACCTGGATTGAACCGGAGGTCCTGAAGTGTTTTCTTTTGGTTTTCCTCAGTCCGTCCATGTAAATGATTTGATAGTACTTTGAATTATGTCAAGACCCCTTCCTGATACATGCTTTCCAATTCATTCTTAACTAATCATCACACCGTTCATCACTAACTAATATGAGCTATTGACTACGTCAGCAGTTAACATATAAATATATAAATAATACAGAGCCAAGTGTCCGTGTGTAGCAAAGGCGCGTTTTAAGGACACGGTGTGTATATATATATATATGTGACTACACGCACATGTTTCTACAGACTTTTAAATGAACTTTGTCACATTTTTCCAGGTTACAAAAACATTGCTTGTGGGGAAAGTTTGTCTTTCGATTTAATTAACACTTTAATAGCTAGTTGTATCAAATGATCGGATTCGTGATCAGTTTCAACACCTGAACTGAAAACACCTTAAATAGAAGTCAAATAAAAATATGGCTGTTTATCTCCCTTTTTTTGCAAATTTGTAATTACAGAGATGCCAATTATCTATCATTATAGTTCACAAAGAGAGTACTAATCATAGTTCAGAAACACACGAACAAGCCGGGACTCTTGAGGAAGAATGCAGATCTAAAAAAGTATCACTTAAACTTCCTCTATGTTTAGACTAAGTTATTTTCCAACCAATGGTGTCACATATCTATCTCTGGGAACGCCGTGTAGTTTGGTAGAGATTTACCGACGTTTCAGATGTCCTTACAGCCTCCATTACTGTCGAAATGTCGGTCAATTTCTGCAGCACTACACAGCGCAACAACCCAGAAGACGTCTTTATATTCGCCACCATGAGAACCTGAGACCTCACTCCATGAATATTATACCATTTATAAATCGACTGTATGTATATTCTGTTACAGATTCCGTGGTTCGCCTTTGTAACATCTCGGTTCGAATCTGGGTCTGTATATTTGTTACCCTGATTCATGTTTTCGTGGCATTCCTCAGTACGTCTAACAAAATTGGAGGCCTATCTTCTAAAAGAAATGCTTAATCTTTACCAATTTGTTATTCATAAATATCCTACTATTTCTCAGTGATTTAAAGGCCTCAGTTAAAGTAGAGACGTTCATCAGCCCATGATAAACTTCTTCCTTGATCATCAGCTGCTATGTATCCAAGGTGTATGTTGCTCTGTGACAATTATCCAGGCTTCTGTAACCTCCCATAATCCATCCTCTTGCATTTGTGTCTATTCATTCCGTATTGTCTTTTGTATAAATTAATTCTTTTTTGTAACATCTTAGACTTGTTTCTCGTCTTCCTAGTTTTTGTAATCATCGAAAGAAATTTGTCATCGTTCATGCATAACACTGTGTAAGGTGCAAATAAAACTTGTAGATAAATTTGGTAATGGAGGAGGATTACTGTTTTTATTACCACTTAATTTGTATTAAATCACGCCGAGAGATGCAAGGTCTCTGGTAGTTAATTGCTTTCCGAATGCTATTATTTAAAACTGTGATCAGTTGGTAATAAGAATCATTTATTCCGTTCTTAATCCCCGAGAATAATAAAGTTGAAAATACATTTTATGAGACTTAAACTGTAGTAATTTTCAGTTCGTAATCGATCTGATATCTAATTTATCGAACATGAAATAGATGAAGTAACATATTTTTAGGGATAATTTTGTAGCTTTTTTCTCTAGCCTGCTTATTAAGTACTTATTGATTATGTATTGTAATTTTCTGAAACACCGAATTAAAGTGGAGTTTGATTGAACAAAACTTACAAGAAACATTAATTCGCAACGTAATCGATGTTTTTGAAATGAATACTGTTTTCCCTATGAAAGGCCAGTTTGAAACAGTTTCCTTAAATAATTGACCATAAATAATTTAAACACACCTTCCTTCAGGGCAAAGAAAACTGCACTGTATTGTCAACAATTTGTCCTTCCTCCGTTATCATCGTATGAAAGTCGCTTATGTCTCAGCGTTGATGTTTATTTTGTAAGATTTAAAATTTTCACTGATATGAAGATGGCCATATTCTGGGATGATGGCGCGTTGTAGTCTCGTAGAAATTGATCGACATTTCAGAGGTGCCTGTTGTCTCCAACATCAAGGCGATTATTGCCCTGGTGAAGGCAGTACAGACCTCGGAAACGTCTGTCAGTACACGGCTCAACGTCCCAGAAGCCAACCATCTTTATACTCTTCAGCTTGAGAACCTGAAAATTTTACTATGAATTGAATTTTGAGTGATGGTCTTTCTGTTGTGAGTTATTGATTTATGATTTTATGCTGTGATATCTTAGTACCATATTTACCCTAACTACAACAGATTTGTATTTATAATAATTTTTTATGAAACCATTTAAGGATGCAACATTGTAAAGAACAAATCAAAATTAGAGTTTACTTTTGGGGTTTGTTTACGTAGTTAGCTTTTCTTAGTGGCATTCACGGGATAGAATTTGAGACACGTATTAGTCTGTGGTGAAAGCTCAGTAGAAGGAATGGACCTTCACACTTACGTGTATAATATAAATGATTGATCATTCGTGAAGCATACAAAAATTTGAAACATCTTCTTTAGCCCACCGCTGAGTGAAAGTTCAAGAAACCATTGACTCAATTATACACATTAGAACAGGACGTGTACACTTGTGTTATTGATTGTGAGATTGTCGTGGAGAAAGACAGAATAGTGGTAGCTTAGCATTATTTACACAAGGGGTCAGCAAAGTTCGGCCAAATGCGGCCTGTAAAAACTTTGCCAGTCCCGAGACATAATTTCATAGGCCTAATTAGAAGTGGTCTCGGGCCGATTGTGGCTCTTGGGCCGCTAGTTGGTTACGCTGAGATAATGGCGGTTTGCTACGTTGTGAACTGTGTTGCAGATTGACAAGTGGTCGGAGACGTCGGGTCGTGGTTGATGCAGGGGACAATGCGTTCTACAGCTCCAGGAACAGTACGCCGTACACGAAAAGCCATTGCGTTGGAGTCTACAAAAGGTTTCACATCTGCAACGATCAGGTAGGTGATACGGAAGAAATCGCTTCTTTTTATGAAGAATCTTCGTTTGTTTGAGACAATTTATGTTGTTTATGCAGCGTAATCGAAGTCACGCAACCCATATCAAAATATTTGTTGATGATTTCAGTTTAATACAATCCGATTGGATTAATAAACACACAATATCGCTGTGACTGTACACGACCACATGCAGGTCACGTCGTGTTGTAACCTGTTCACGCCAGTCCGTCAATTACCTTTCAGCAGTTGAAGCGCAAGAACGTCTTTCTCACAAGTGAGACGAGTGTCCGCTGTCGAACACTACCTTGCATTTCGTTCTTATTTAACTTGCCAGAAAGAGTTTAGGGATACATTTCCCGGGTTTCCTGTACCAAACAAATCGACATTATCTCGTCTGGTGAACGGTTTCCACGACACAGGGACAAAGGAACTCTTCACAGGGTTGCATCAAACACGACGAAAATGGCGAATTCATACATCGCTGAACGCGGTGGGCATTTCCAACACGTGATATAACTTTGTTTTTTATTTAATTTTTTTGGCAAATAGAATATGTGTCAGTAATGTTTTGCGTGACTTTTAGATTATTCTGTATTACACTTAACGAAATAAAAGTTGGATAATTTATGAATTTTCAGTATGATCTTTATTTTTTTTATATATATTTATATATCGGAAATAAACAAACATAAAGACAATGAAAGAAATCTTAGAGCGGATATGTTTTGTTTTATTCTACGTCTTTTCTCAGAGCGCTCTGTCTTACTTATCAGTTTCAGACATCTGGTCTGGTCCAGCCTTCGTCATGATATGAAACGGAGTACGTCATTATGATATTGCAGCTTTAAATATGCTAATTTTAATAATAAGAAAGACTGAGACCGGAACGGAACTTGTGTAACGAATTTCCACTTGCATGTCGGCCACTGCTCGGGCTGGTTGTCAAGTCTGGCCACGTGGCTGTCCCGTAAGACAGACAGGTCAAGGAAATGCAGTAAATTCTCATCTCACTGACATTTAAGAATAGGAGCTAATGTATCGCTGTGTTACCCTGGTCTGTCCACCCAGAAATTCTCAATCTTTGCTGTTGAAGACTGGTACTGTATTAAGTTATGAGTGTGACCTCATCACAGCCTTGTTACGTGAACTCGTAACATTGCGAGAAAGAAATAGTACGTACCTCGTTTTATATTATGAAATGGCTGCATAATGGCCCCATAACTTTTCTGCATAACCATAAACTTGTCAGGACTTATTCTCTTGGATTGGCGTGAGGGGTGTCAACGATTTGACACTGTGAATAAAAGGATTTTTATGAAGTATATTAGCGGTCCGCGAAATGGTTCCCGGCTCTAAACGATGAATTTCGCGGCATTGTCCAGAGATCACGTTTCTACACTGCAGATCAATCATCCGCAAATCTCTAAGTGTCTGAATTTTTTGTCCCCAGCTCTGCCCCCCTGGATCCGTGGATTTCCGAAGACTTCAGTGCGAAACTTTCAATGGGAAGAAGTTCATGGGGCAAAATTACCTCTGGGAGCCATTTGTTGACGGTAAGTTGTCAAAAGTCTTACCGCGTGTTATCCACAAAAAAAAAAAAATATTCCGATTTATGTCTCTTCAGAATGCAACTGTTTTATTCTCACAAACATTTTCTGGTCATGAACCTTGTCTCTGGAAGATGGTTAAATGCAAGAATGAGGTTTAATTCCATCAACCACCAAAGTAACCATTGTTACCCGAGAACCAGGATAATCTGTTTGTCTGTAGTTGGTTCATCTCAAATTGGTTTACACAAGTTTATAGCTATATTTGTTTAACTTATTTTCAGCCTCTGATGAAAAGAAATGTGAACCTAACCTAACATTTGTGTCCAGTAAGAAATAGAATTTGCTCTTTGTACGTTTGATTGGCAGTTCAGAGAAGCAATAGTGTCAATAACTAATATGAAATGTGTGTACTTGGAGAATATGAACTGAGAGTACATTTCTACTCGTGTTTTAACGTGATAATCTTGAGAAATAACTATATTTTCTAGTGCTTAAATTAAGGTAATTTCTGTGTTTGATTAAACACACAATTAAGCTGCATATTTATTTGTTTATACCTTCCTTCCTGCCGTTCTTTATAATTTATTTCTTTGCTTTAATTCTTCTGTTTTGTCTTTACTTTTTCCCGTATTTCTCTCACGTCTTCTGATCGCACAACACAGTGTGACATGTAACGAACGTTCGGTAAGTTTGCCTGTGCCTTCAGAACATGATTCGCGGCTCATTAAAATAGAACATGATTTTCTTCGCCACTCATGCCAAATATTGCTGTTACATTTCTTAAATTATAGTGTTCTGTTAATTAACATCACATTGCTTTGTCGAAACGCAAACATAATCTTATCGACGTGTTCACATCTTAAGGGCGTCTCCTGACTGTGTAGAAACTTACCAGAAACAATTGCGATTCGTCTATACGATTATCTTCGTATTTGGCATAATGACATCGCGTCTTTGTTAATGACAAACATCTGCATCGTCTTGTGGTAGCCTGTCTTTAATTTGCATACCATAAAATCACCAAGAACATCAATCATATACTGAACCTGTCATTAATCATTCACAGTCCAACAGCACGTGACCTCAACCGTCCTGTGACGTAGTCCCATCACCCATCGCGATGCTGTGTATGAATTTCGGAGATCACACGAAGCTGCTATGCAAACCATACATAAATCCGCCAGACTTTTAAAACCCAATTGTAATTATGTATCCTACGTGCTTCAAATTTTAATTTTTATATGTTTCTTATGATTTTTCGTTGTAAACAGAAGTGTACTTGGTGCCTCCATTACCATAAAGTAAATTTTTACGAGACGACACTGTGAAATATCATAGAAGACAATTATCTTCGCATTCTTCGTTTTTTTATTCAGGAAGAATATATTTGTCGTGCATAAAGAATATCACATAGCCTACGTGAACGGATAATAACGTTTTGATACTTTAAAATACATCGTTAAACACGATTTTCACGTGGCGCTGTGTGTCCCATTTAATGTTCTTGTTAGATCTACCTCCTGTTATCTTACCGTTTTTGGTATCTATAGCAACGCCAAGCCCCTAAATCGATAGGCATCCCACACATTACTGATACAGAGTGGGTGGAGAAGTGTTCAGGGATTTTGCCGGAAACGAAGGAGTGGTTAAGGGTCCCCCACACATCTCCATCACTGATCATATCGGACAATGAAGTATTTATAAACAGATATTATAAACATGCCAAACCCGTGTAGGCAATTCGCCGGCCAGTACCTATAAAACGGAGATTCAATTAATTTCTCTCCTATGCCACATAGGAGTAATGTTTGAAGCTATGAAGTTATTTTGTTCTGTCAGGACATTGCATGGGTCATGTAAGGACGGGCCGTAACGTAGACTGTTAGTAGCAGGCTTCTCATCGCGAAGGTCTGATTTCGCTTCTGAAGCAGTCCTTGTGAGATTTGTGGTGAACATCGTGGCACTGGGGCAGGTTTTTTCTTCTCGTTCTTTGGTTTTTATCCTGTTAGTAGCTGCTCCATATTCGTTCGTGTATCGTCACATAAGGGATGGATAATGGTCCTGTTAGCAACGGCAGTTCGACGAGTAGTTCAAAGATGATACTTTTAGAAGTATTCAATAAAATACATTTCCAGAAAGTATTGTTCTCTTAATATTATCACGAACCAATGCTATCATTTGTTTAAATGACATGAATTACAAGCCTCATTAATATCTTATCAATTATTTTCGTAACGAATTTGTCGTTTATACATTTTGTGAACGTCTCTTTTTTACCCAACCACTTGGCAATTCACAGTGAAGTAACTGGAACGTTTGCCGAAAATTTAGAAGACCTTCAAACGTCAAACTCCAGCCACAAACATTAAGGATAAGAACTTTCTAGTATCTGTTACTATGAAACATTTCTCTGTAGGTATACAGACCTGTTTGACGAAATATCAGGGAAGAAAGGCAATTTTATTGCAACATAATATCAGTACTATTAATTAAATTTATCAAAGTAGACTGTACTACGGAGCGTGATATTTTGAAGTTCGTTTGTGTTCGTATTTAATAAACATTTTGGTCTAAAAAGGAATGATTTTTCTTAAAATTGGCAACACCTTCCGCTGCAGTTAATTCTCCAAGTTCAGTTCCTTCGCAGAAAAGAATACATTTCAGTCCATTAATCCTCTGAAGCCGAAGTCCGCCCAAATAATATTTAAAAACAGAGTCCGTACCTCAAAGGAAACACAAATATTACGTAATTTTAGTTGTTGTTTTTTTCCTCCATGCAGCACCGAACAAGTGCGAGCTGAACTGCCGACCTGTGGGGTTTCGTTTCTACGCGACGCTCAACAGAACGGCAGTCGACGGGACGTCTTGTCGTGGCGCCAGCAACGGTCGGTGGGTGTGTGTCAGCGGTTTGTGCAAGGTAGGACCTGCAGCGACACTTTCACTACGGAAGCCGTCACAGAAAACTGCATTCTTCAAGGTCACGTAAATACTTTATCCCCTCACTCTGTCTCCATTATAGGGTTATCAGCTTTGCTACGCTGCTGGATCTGAGCTGTCTTCACTCACTTCTTCTCTGCTGTTCATGTTGCATTGTTGTGACCTTGAAACATGCAATTTTGTGGCGGGTACTGACTTTGTTCGATTCTCATCCAGAGCATTCACATGTAGCAAACGTCTGCAAGGAATTTCACAATAAACGAACGTCACATATACGGACTGGCGTTAGTGTTCTCGTATTTAAATTACGGAATGCCAGCTCGTGCAATGTTTTCCGTGGTTTTCTTGGGGTCTTAAAGCAAATGTTTAGTTGGTAACAAATACAAACTGTACAACTTTTCGTCATTCTGCCCTCTGCATCACCATGTCGAGATGTCGGATGCATTACCGCTGTATTAACCCGCTGATGTTATAAATTAGTCTTGTGATGTTTCGCTATTTTTGTGTGTTAAAAATTATAACTACCAATTTTGCTCGAAGATTTGATGCTAAAGAAGATAATTGTGTTGCAAATTCGTGCTAAGTTCCACGATTATCGGTATGACCGGAGGACATATTTCAAGAACTGGAAATTATTAAATTCAAAGATGTTGAGAAGTTAATTGGTGGGAAGGAAGCTGAGTCTAGGTTTTCGTTGAAGTTCTTACACTCAGAAAATGAAAATATATATAAATCGTATCTCAAGGATATTATATATGATTTCCTTTATCAATATTAAGTTAATAATTTTTGTTGGACTAATTTAAAATATGACATAAAATATATTCAATAAAGTATGAAATTAATTACCATTTTGCTTTCGGCCATGTTTTGAGCTTCTTAAATATGGTCTTTCGGAAAGGAATGCTACTAATTTAAAGTAAATTATATGTCATAGTGTGTTCCATTTGGTTAGTTATGATTTAAGATAACTTGGCTTGTCAGTAATTATGAACAAATATTTGTTTTTTTTAGTTTTATGGTAATGGCGACAGACTTATAGTATCTAAGCACGTTCAGTACACTGCTGAATGACGGATAAACATAAAAGATTCTGGTTACATAATTCTTATTTGCTTCATAATCTTAACGTCGCGACGTACACACACTTTTATTTCAGGTATCTTGCAGCAGTAAAGTGCTTTTAATTGTGGTGGAACTTAAATTTTTGAAATAATTTCCGAAACGTCTTGTGATCTTAACTTTCTTCACAATGCGATTGTAGTGGATTGAATTTAACGCAGGCGATGCAAATTATCCTGTCAGTGTTTTTTTTTTTTCGCAACAAGACAGCAAGCAGCTCGTATGTGAATATTTTCAGATCGATGTAAATGCTAACCCAGGAACTTGTAATCATCGTCTGAATGGTTCGTCCCTTCTCATATAACTGTCAATCTAGAACGTGTCCAGTACGAAAAGGTGAAGATATTAAAGCAGAAAGCCGCGCTTCTTTTCCTATAACCACAGGAAACACCATTGCAGATTCTGACAGTTTAACGTAACCTAACTTGACCTGATGTAACCCGCCCAGACCGATCAAAACGAGTCATAACCCGTGCCGTGGTAAGCCATGGTATCGTATCCGAACCTTGCTAAGTGTAGAAGAACAATGCACAAAGCAAGAGTTGTGCAGATAAGATTGGTCTTTCTGTGGACCTTTCTTGAGGACTTCCTTGTTGTAATGATATATTGGGAGAAATCTTGCGTGATGTTTTGTACGATTTTTAAACTTGGTATTTTGTCCGAGTATAAAATAAATGTAGAGTGAGTTTCTTCCGGTGCTGAAGAAGAACATACTGAAGATTTAGGCAGTATGTTCTTCCGAAATGTTGGTATCCACCTACAAGTCCACACGGAGTTACTACGCTGAAGACATACATCAAGAAAGAGTTTTTGAGAACAAAGTTGTGGAGAGAATATTTTGACCCAAGAAATAGGAAGTAACGCGGTGTTTGAGAAAATTACAAAATGGGGAGCATCATAATTTGTAATTGTTAAATTAATTTGTGAGAATGGGACATGTAGCATGCACGGCAGACGTACAAAATTGTAATAGATGAAGAAAGAATTTTCTTAGATAAAGACGTAGACTCAAGGACGATAATGTATCTTAGAGAAGTAGGAGTTGTATGTGTGGGCTGTACTGAACATTTTACGATGGGGTGCAGTAGCCAGATTTTGTGAACACGATAATAAAATTTCAGGTTCCTTAAATTTAAAGTTTCATGACCACTTGAATAACTATCGACATTCAAGGTTAGTTGTTTCGTTAGTGTATCATTTACATGATCCAAATACGAACATCATTTCAAAGTTATTACAATTTCAAGTGCCAGGCCTCTTTTATGTCTATTATGGTTTTAGCTAATGAATTTCAGTCGCTAGTATGCCCTGCTTCTTTAAATTTTTATTACAATTTTGTGCACGTCTCAAGAAGTTGATGAAGGCTTTATTCTCTTGATATACGAGCGTACACCAGATGAAAACCTGTCGTTCGAATTTAGGGCCTGGTTACTCACCCACTCTCATCAAGTATATGTTTACATTTCCGATTTAGGTGTTGCTTCATTTGGAATAATAATATTATCATGTAAATATGAGGGTACTGTTCGAGTCTCCCAGTGGATTCTCAAGTGGTCTGAATCCTTTTGTTAAGCCGATC